TTCTGGGAGTTGAAGTCCACACATCTTAAAGTTGCTGAGGTTGAGAAACACTGGTCTAGAACATGTCATTTAAGTTATTGTCATTAAAACGATCTCCACTACTACCACTCCTGCATATGTAGTATTCAGTAGGACTTAACACACTACTGAAGCATCTTAGCTTATTTTGATCAATGATTATCATGCTCTTTCTTCCCTTTGAAAATATTTTCCCTTTGAAAATATTTATTTAGTACAATAATTTCCATATTGCCAACCTTAAGATTCTAGGCATTACATAATATAATGAAACAATATAAAAGAAATTCCCAGTTGCCTCAATTCATACAACTGAAACCCAACAATGAAATATATGATGATCCCAGAATACAGCTTAGGCACCAAATCCCTGTTTAAAATGGATTTTCCAACTTCTTGAATGTCAGAAGAAAGAGAGCCAGACATATCTCCATACAACATGAGGTTGCCAAAGAGAAGTCCTGCTTTCTGTCCCGTGGTCCTTTCATTTCCTGCCAGGATGGGACGTTGAGCAGGATCTCTCGACAGGATGGGTAGACTGGATCAAGCAGCCCCTTATACAGCCACATTTTATTCAATAAAATCTTTGCTTTATGCATTAGATATAAAGGATGAGCCATTTCTGCAAGTGGAAACTTCAAGATCTGGTGGCAGAACAGAAATTTACATAAGATCCAAAGCCCAACCAGATTAGGAAGGCACCCACTCTTCAGGCATAATTCTAGGCCAGGTGGAGGATAATTCTCAGTAATTTTCAACCCTCTGAATCCAAGAGCTGCTGAGAAAGAAAGAGATGGAGAGATTCCACCTGGAGGAGTTTGGATTCAGCCAGGCTACTGTGAACTCAGTTGGGCTTCATTGCCATTTTGCCTACTTAGGGCTGGCCTCTTTCTATTCTGAATGGCAGGAGCTTTCTAGGACTGGGGTATGAAATGAAGGTCGCTTTCATCTTTATAAAGGTAAACATGCCCCTGAATTGAGCATTTCTGATGACTGCATCTGTGGACATGCCATGCTGCCTTCTCCTGGTATTCTTCTTCTATTCCCTGTTTCATCAGCAGGCTTGGAGTTCCCAGGAAATCCACTATCAAAGTAATAACTGACGGCTGCAGAACTTCCCCACTTGATTGCCTACCTAATACTAATACATTTAGTACCTAACTCCTGGATTTTCTGAGATTATGCAGAGAAATTATTTCTAATAAAAGAAATGACACCAAACTAGCAGCAGACCATAAACAATAGTTGTGACCAGCTGCAGAACCTGCATAAAAGAGCAAAGATAGAGGGTTTTCCTTCTCCAATCCTCTCTTACTCTGCCAAAAAAAAAAAAAAAAACAGCTTCCAAAAAATGAAGGCACATTAAAAAATTTTTATAATGCTAGTAGTAATTCTCAGGCTGCTGCTTTTTTTTTTTTTTTGCGAAAGCTTCAAAAAGGGATAATTTTGAACAGAAAAATGACAGATGCATGCTTCATTAATCCTTCCTCCACCAACAGTTTTTCCACTAAAATTCCCCAGTTTCCCCAAGCTGTTTAGCTCACAGACTTGCAGATGCTTGTTTAAAATGTGTATCTGTATCCCCATATGTCAAAAATCCATTTGGGGAACAATTTTGAACAAAAAAACTCCAGGCTGATAAGGAAACAAGTAAACTTACATAGACAAGGCATACCTACCTATTCCCTAGCTTCTTTTCACAATCTGAGTCTCCTGGTGTAGCTTTTTGGTGTTCAAAATAACCAAATGAAACACCAAGTTAGGGCTATGCAAAATAGTTGCTTTTATCGGTGACAATTTTAACTAGCGATTCAGGTACCGGTAGTCCTTGCTTAACAACAGTAACTGGGACTGGCAACTCCATCACTAAACAATGGAATCGTAAAGCGCAATGTCACATGACTGCACCAACTTACAACGGCAGATCTGGCACTTCTGGCTGCAGTCCTTAAGTGAATCCCACACAGTCATTAAGCACAACGTTATGTCACCATCTGTGACCTTCTGTCAGCTTCCCCATTGCCTTTGTGTGTCAGAAACTGGCAATGAAGGTTGCAAATGGCAATCATGACCGTGGGATGCTGCAACGTCGTAACTGCAAGCCAGTTGCCAATCACCTAAACTGTGATCATGTGACTTCAGGGATGCTGCAATGGCCACAACTACAGGAACCGGTTATAAGTCCCACTCATTCAGGGCTGTCATAACTTTGAATTGTCGCTGAACTAGCAGTTGTTAATTGAGGACTACCTGTACAATTAATCCATAAGCATATCTTTTTATTTCTGGTAGGCTTTTCTCACCTTCAGCTACACCATCTAGCAGCACAGTAATTTTCTTGTCCTCTAATAAGCGTTCCTTCAAAAACTTCATGAAAATTCCATTGGCTAATCCAGACTGCTGAATTTCAAAAGCTTCTGCCCCTTGGCACCTTGACAATATGTTGACAACATATGTTAGCACTGTAGATGGAGAAGCATCTTTATCATGCAGCATGTAAACTACAAAGGTTAAACTTCCGATGTAGCGTTGCTTCAAATTGTGCAGCAGGAATATTTTTAATTGTTCACATTGATCAGACAGATTGAAAAGAACTTAATATTTAAAGAAGCCATGGGCCATCTAATTGACTCTTTCAGTGGATGGATGGATAGGTTGTGCAAGAGTCTCTATGCAGAAACCAATCTGTACATAATAGTACAGTGGAACCTTGAGTTACGAATTTAATCC